TGGCGGGTCTTAGTCTTTAGCATATGCCAGTACCAACTAACCATCGAAGTGAATGAATGATTCGTGGAATATTTCTGTGTAGAAATTATGCTACTTGCTACTGCCCCAAGTTCACCAACGTTTAGGTTACCTAACAATTATTTAAGAGTGATCACCAACCATGGCGTCCCATAAATCTGTAGACCAAACAATTCAACGGAGCTATCCTCCAGATAAATGCAGTTTTTCAAATTCTGTTTTGCATTTTTCACCTCATGCACCGAAAAACTGTCGCTGAGTGTTTGCTTTATCGCGAACTCCTTTTCGCTAAGATCTTTTCCTGAAATGAATTATTCGTAGTTTTCTAAAACCATGCACGAATTAAGCGAATCCAACTGCACTTGCATCGCTCATACTTCTATCCTGTATGACGTGGGATCACCTAAGCAAAGTTACCAGGCCGACTGATCAGTTGGTATGGGATTGCGTTTTGATGTTGCCGTTATAATATTTTTAAACACCAGATGCATTCTGTGTCAGGCTTCGCTCAAAAACCGCATGCAGCCTGATCGATATATATGCGCCTCCCAAGTGGTCATTTGCTTTTACAGGAAAATGCCATAAATGGCATGCAAAATGTATTGTTAATTGTGGATACGGTAAAAGAGGACATTTTAGAATCCATTTTTAAGTCTTTTGGTCCATTTTATTTCACGAATTATTTGATAGTAGCAGCAGATTAACCTGTAGCTTTCATAAAGCGGTCGTCGAATGTGCATTCATGGTTTCCAGCAATTACTATTTTGAAAACATGCTTCAACTGTCCTGAAAAAAATGAAGAGAAACCGGTAAGTTTAAGATATCACGGCAAAAGCATAGCTGCTTGAGAACCTAAATAATCGAGGAGTACTTGAAAAAAATCCAAAACTCACAAAAGAACAGTACTTTTGATGAAACTGAAATACATGTGCTAAATAAATCCAGACCAATAGATTCAGTCCAAACTACCTATTCTTTACCATTTCTGTCAAAAGAATTGCTCAGTTGATCATTGTTTCAAAAAACGATTCTGATAATAGGATCACTATTTCACCGCCCTCGAGCAGATGCACATAATTAGTCAAAGCAGTTGGAAAAGTTGCCAGCTTTGCAGCAGAAAACCGCCATATAAATTGCAGTTAATCGACAAACAAATTTTTTTCAAAGGAAAGACATATTACT